TTAAAGATCCCTCCCCTACTACCTTGAATAGCTCTACACCGAGTTCACTATATGAACCACTGATGTATTTATACATGGAGATCATATCCCCCCTTATGTATTATACATGGAGATCATATCCCTCCTTATGTATTATACACGGAGATCATATCCCCCCTTATGTATTATACACGGACATCATATCCCCCTTATGTATTATACACGGGATCATATCCCCCTTATGTATTATACACGGGGATCATATCCCCCTTATGTATTATACACAGGGATCATATCCCCCTTATGTATTATACACGGGGATCATATCCCCCTTATGTATTATACACGGAGATCATATCCCCCTTATGTATTATACACGGAGATCATATCCCCCCTTATGTATTAGTACACGGTGATCATATCCCCCCTTATGTATTGTACACGGAGATCATATCCCCCCTTATGTATTATACACGGAGATCATATCCCCCCTTATGTATTATACACGGAGATCATATCCCCCTTATGTATTATACACGGAGATCATATCCCCCCTTATGTATTATACACGGGGATCATATCCCCCCTTATACACGGAGATCATATCCCCCTTATGTATTATACACGGAGATCATATCCCCCTTATGTATTATACACGGGGATCATATCCCCCTTATGTATTATACACGGAGATCATATCCCCCCTTATGTATTATACACGGAGATCATATCCCCCCTTATGTATTATACACGGAGATCATATCCCCCCTTATGTATTATACACGGAGATCATATCCCCCCCTTATGTATTATATACACGGAGATCATATCCCCCCTTATGTATTATACATGGAGATCATATCCCCCTTATGTATTATACACGGGGATCATATCCCCCCTTATGTATTATACACGGGGATCATATCCCCCTTATGTATTATACACGGGGATCATATCCCCCCTTATGTATTATACACGGGGATCATATCCCCCCTTATTATGTATTATACATGGAGATCATATCCCCCCTTATGTATTATACATGGAGATCATATCCCCCTTATGTATTATACATGGAGATCATATCCCCCTTATGTATTATACATGGTGATCATATCCCCCCTTATGTATTATACATGGAGATCATATCCCCCCTTATGTATTATACATGGAGATCATATCCCCCCTTATGTATTATACATGGAGATCATATCCCCCCTTATGTATTATACATGTTGATCATATCCCCCCTTAATCTCCTCTTCTCAAGAGAGAATAAATTCAGTTCCTCTAATCTTTCCTCATAGCTGAGCTCCTCCATGCCTCGTATCAGTTTGGTTGCCCTTCTCTGTACTTTCTCCAGTTCCCCAATGTTCTTTTTGTGAATTTTTGCCCAAAACTGAACTGCATATTCCAGATGAGGTATTACTAATGATTTGTACCGGGGAAATTATCTTTCTCTCTTTTTAGAAAGTACAAGCTTTTGTCTAAACTGGCCCTGGCAGTTATACCATTAGGTTCTGAATATACAGACACCTTGTAATGCCTTTAGTTACTTCTGGTAATTCTTTTTTGCTGGTAGCTAGATTTTTTTTGTAGAAGAGAATTTGTATTTGCATGTCTCTTCCACCATGAAAACACATTTTTAATTTTTCCTAGCATTTGAATTTTTAGTGTTTTACAGTGCACTGTACATTTTGAAAATCTAAACCCCGGACCCTGCATTCACTATATCTGGTCTCCCCGGACCCTGCATTCACTATATCTGGTCTCCCCGGACCCCGCATTCACTATATCTGGACTCCCACAGTACACAGAACATGGAAATGCAATTATGTTAGTAAATATAAACTGCTAAATACCTTTCCTCATCAGCAGTATATAGCAGTATTGTGACTTCTATCAGTGTCCAGCAGAGCACATGTTATAGCTTGTAGGAGGAGTTTTCCTTCTCCACTGATTGTCCTATGAGACTGCAGGACCCCTGACCCTCAGACAGCGCTGATTGGCTTTTTGCTGATCACATGCACCCTCCGAAAGAAAAAAAAAACCCTCTAGCAATACACTTTAAACTGAGCATGTTCAGAGTGCCTTCTAGGGCTCTGTGCTATCAGCAGATAGACTGGGGACAGTAGAAGAAGGGGAGGATCAGAGAAGACAGCATAAAACAGACTTTTTACACAATGTGGAGGATTAACCCCTTAGGTTCTATAGTATCACAAGTAAGCTTGTAGGAAGAGTTTTCATTCTGCTCTAGGAAGATGCAGAACCCTTGACCTCTATCTGGACAGTGCTGATTGACCTTGTGCTGATCACATGCACTCTCCCAAGAAAAAAAAAAAACCTCTCTAGAAAACACACACCAAACTGAGCATGTGCAGAGTGACTCCACAGGATATGTCTTATCAGGAGATAAGAGGGTGACACTGGAAGCAGGGGAGGATTAGAGAAGACAGGATCAAATAGCCTTTTTACACTATGCAGAGGATTAACCCCTTAGGTTCCACAGTGAGTATATCGAGCATGCTTTACTCCATATACAGACTGATTTTACTGTTGTGGGTTTAGTAACACTTTAATACAAGACATAAAAATGCATGAATGTGGAACAGAACACCACCAAAATCATAGAATAATAACAACAACAGCCTGATTGTTTTGCTGACGCTAGCAGTACATTCTGGATAGATCCAGGAGTCCGCTGGTTACCAGTACTGGTTGTTTGCAATTCCCCTTTATTCTGATGGTATATGTGTGATACTGTACATATCATCCCCGGCTGTGAGACGTAGACTCCGGTGTGTGCTCCTGTGATGACATCATTCCTCTACAAACCTCCGGTAGAGCCAATGGCACAATGTGATGCAATGAAAAAAAGACTCTCAAGCAGGTTTTAAGCTTTACTGCAATCAATTTATTGCAATTTGACACCAATATCCACATTAGTATGAATTATTTTATTAACTTTGCATTATAGAAGGCATTTAGGCTTTATTAGGTTCTTTCCAATATGTAGCCCTGTCAGCCACACACAATGGTCATGCCATTCTGGCAGCCACTAATGCCGAGAGCACAGCCCAGCAATTCAGCAGAAACCATTGGCATCAATGTGGCGATACACGATCATGTAGCTGGACCTGGTGAATTGATGGGCTAAACATCTTTTCAGCCTATAAAATAGTTAAAAGGGGAAATCCACTTTTGTTTAAAAAAAAAAAAAAAAATCTAGCATATGAAATTGCCACACGAGCTATTTTGTGATTTCACATTAATAAACTACCCTTCCGGTTTCAATCTGGGAGCACAATCAGTCGAAGACTGAATTCGATGCAATATGGCATCCTGGGGGTGTGCTTTACAACATTGGTGGACAGGACACCCCCAGAAATGTCATTTCCTGCTTGTGTGATTGCCTTACTGATTTACTCAAGAATACGCACGTTCAAGTCGAATTTTAGGTATCCTCTGCAACAGGAATGTAATTTTTAGTTGGATTCTCCCTAAGGATTAAATACCAACTTTGGGAAATGTGAAAATGATCCATTTCAGTGGGGCTGGCCCAGCATTGCTATAGTTAAATCAGGGGTGTCAAACTGGTGGCCCTCCAGCTGTTGTGAAACTACAAGTCTCATCATGCCTCAACCTTTGGGAGTCATGCTTGTAACTGTCAATCTTGCAATGCCTCATGGGACTTGTAGTTTGGCAACAGCTGGAGGGCCGCCAGTTTGACACCCGTGGGTTAAATGCTCGTTTAGTCTAGGGAAGAGGACACGCACTTTTACTTACTTGATCCTCCACTCCTCCAGCAGATGGCACCCCTCCGTGCTCCAGTGTTGGACTGTCCTGTTATGTTCAGTGCACAGCTATGAACCCTGCATTGGTCTTGATGACATCAGGACCTTAGACTGCTGGAACATGGATGGGAGAAGACGCAACATCAACCGGTGAGCACAAGGGTGCAAAGGATGGGGTAAGTAAATCTTTCCGTCCCCTTGCAGTGTATGTGCAGCCCTACTGCAAGCCATCATTTTTAAAGTGATTCTTAAGGTTCATTTTTTTTTAAAAACAATAAACATGTCATACTCACCTGCTGTATGCAGTGGTTTTGCACAGAGCAGCCCGGATCCTCCTCTTCTCGAATCTCCCACAGGCTCTCCTGGCCGGCCCCTCCCTCCTGTCGGGTGCCCCACAGCAAGCAGCTTGCTATGGGGGCACTCATTGCTCCATGTGTCCATTCACACACGGCTTGGCCCCACCCCCCCTCTCTCCTCATTGGCTGACTGGCTGTGACTGACAGCAACGGGAGCCAATGGCGCCCTGTTGCTGTCTCAGCCAATGAGGAGGCAGAGACCCAGGACATCTGAGGCTGTCATGCACATTGCTGGATCTCAATGGGGCTCAGGTAAGTATTGAGGGGGCTGGGGGACCTGCTGCACACAGAAGATTTTCTACCTTCATGCATAGAATATATGAAGGTAAAAAACTTCAGCCTCTACAATCACTTTAAGTTCTCTGGAGTTGGGCTTTAAAGCGTATCTAAATCTAAGCATAGAATATAATAGTATTGCAGCCTACAAGTCCTTAGTTGTGATGACTGCATTAGTTTTCCTTTTCATGCTTGTTTTCCTTTATTTTAGCCTGGTAATTGTGCCATTGTCACACTTCCTTTCCTAGGGCGAGAACTGTACTGAGCAGCGTTGACACCATAGGACAGGGAGTGTATTGATTGAGACTAGACAACTCTGTTAGGACTACATACCACCTCCCTTCAGTTTTGCAGTCATAGTGGAACAAACATCGTTTTTCTTCAGAACAAAAAAAATTAACAAGTTAGGAATCTGCAACAAAATTTGTTACGTTTGCATGTACATAGATCACCCCGCGAGGATTGTTTTTTTTTTTTTTTCGCAACAAAAGTGGAGTTGCACTTTAACTTTACATGGCTGACAGGTAGAGTTTGAGCTTCTACAGGTGAACCTTTCATCTCGGTCCTTTAAGCGTACAAGCAGCAGAGGGAGCAGTTAGTAATCCTGGGATAGTGTGACGCTCTTCCCATCATATTCATTGGTCTTCAGGCACTGGAGGAAGAAGTGGCTGAGGTCATGAGTGGAGATCACTTTACCTCCTCGTTCCACTGACACTTTGTAATCTCCTGTCAGGGGCTTATCAGCTGTACACAGGGTGATAGACAAAATTAACAGTGTCAGGCACACAGCTCCCAATAGAAGTGAACTCACCATGTCAATGGTCTGTCAACGGGTTCAATTTACAACACACATCACCTTTCTCCCAACAACGTATACAGCGAATGGAGCTTCATTCAACCATAGCAGGAGTTTCCAAACTTTTCAAGTATGAGACACATTGTGGATTTTAAAAGATATTCATGGGACAAAAAAAAAAAATCCTTTAAAATCTTACATCCAGGAGTGCCCATCAGACTCGCCCCATACAACCAGGAGTGCCCATCTGACTACCCCCCTCTTACATCATCGGGGGAGTGCCCATCAGACTCGACTCCCCCCCCATACAACCAGGAGTGCCCATCTGATTCCCCCCTCTTACATCCGGGAGTGCCCATCAGACTCGCCCCATACAACCAGGAGTGCCCATCTGATTCCCCCCTCTTACATCTGGGAGTGCCCATCAGACTCGCCCCATACAACCAGGAGTGCCCATCTGACTCCCCCCTCTTACATCCTGTAGTGCCCATCAGACTCCCTGACTCCCCCTATACATCCGGGAGTGCCCATCAGCCCATCATTTTGTCCCCCCATACTTCCCCCCCTTACATCCAGGAGTGCCCATCTGACTCCCCCCGCTTACATCCGGGAGTGCCCATCTGACTCCCCCGCTTACATCCGGGAGTGCCCAGTTTCTGACTCCCCGCTTACATCCGGGAGTGCCCTTCTGACTCCCCCATTACATCCAGGGGAGTGCCCTTCTGACTCCTCCCCGCTTACATCCAGGAGTGCCCATCTGACTCCCCCTCTTACATCCAGGAGTGCCCATCAGTGTCTCTCCTTACATACAGGAGTGCCCATCAGTGACCCCCCCATACATCCAGGAGTGCTCATCAGATTCTCCTCTTACATCCAGGAGTGCCCATAAGACTCAGTCCAATCCAGCTATGTAAATTGAGGAATAAACACCTGTCCAGGATTCTGGACACCAACAATGGGGTTATGTATGTAGGACTGCATGGCACAACTTTTACACCTCCTATCCTGCTTCTAGACAATCAACATTTCCACATTCCATGGTGATTGGATTAAGGTGTCCTTAAGATGTGGATATAAATGCTGGGGTATCTTGACACTCTAGGAACTGAAAAAGTAGCTTGATAAGCTATGTAACATCTTCAGCACTGTAGAACAAGTTTAGTTGAACGTGACTAACTACTACTAGACATGCTATGACCTGGATAATTGAGAACCTTCACAGTCATAGTTGATTTTGAGGTTCAAAAGGAAGTGCAACCTTGGTGGCAATAGCAATAATAATTCAGCCCCAACTATACCTTTAAAATAAGTTGGCAATGAGAACTCCTCTATATCTATCCAGCGTCCCGAGGTTCTCCTCTATTTCTAGCCAGCGCGCCGAGGTTCTCCTCTATTTCTAGCCAGCGTCCCGAGGTTCTCCTCTATTTCTGTCCAGCGTCCCGAGGTTCTCCTCTATTTCTGTCCAGCGTCCCGAGGTCCTCCTCTATTTCTAGCCAGCGCCCCGAGGTTCTCCTCTATTTCTAGCCAGCGCCATGAGGTTCTCCTCTATTTCTAGCCAGCGCCCCGAGGTCCTCCTCTATTTCTAGCCAGCGCCCCAAGGTTCTCCTCTATTCTAGCCAGCGCCCCAAGGTTCTCCTCTATTTCTAGCCAGCGCCCCAAGGTTCTCCTCTATTGCTAGCCAGCGCCCCAAGGTTCTCCTCTATTTCTAGCCAGCGTCCCGAGGTTCTCCTCTATTTCTAGCCAGCTCCCCGAGTTCTCCTCTATTTCTAGCCAGCGTCCCGTAGTTCTCCTCTATTTCTGTCCAGCGTCCCGAGATTCTCCTTTATTTCTATCCAGCGTTGAGGTTCTCTATACAGCTAGTGATTGCAATGCCCAGTCCAACTTGGGACAGTGTGCTTTCATATTTAAAACAGAGCTGTACCTCTACAGGTTAAATCTTTACAAGATAGAATGAGAGATGTGTTACCTGTGTTGGGGATTTTTTTGTTTTTGTACAGTTTTCCATAACTGCATCATGCTGAAGTTAAACAAGTAGTTCACTATTAAAACAGCTGTACAATGTCTGCATATACAGAGACATAGCAGCATGCAACCTGTCTTTTCATACCACCTGTCCAGTGTCCAAGGAGAGGACAATCAGCAAGGGGTTTACTCTCTAAGCATTGACCCAGAGTTTTTCAACTGAAACAGCTGCATGATGACCACAAGGATGCGGCTCTCTATATATTGTCCCTTAGCTCATCAATTCTGGATTGATCATGTTGGGGTAGTAGCCTTGATGTTTTCTCTTGAACTTAATTTTGATTGTAAGGAACCCTGAAAGGCAATCTTCCACTGAGAATACTACAAGTTACACTTCAGAATCTATTTCAAAGAAGGTCTATGCCTATCAAAAAAGCTACCCTTTTCCTCTTTACCTGGCATGGGTCTTTGTTGTTCAGAGTAACCAAGGTGCAGGGGCAGACTGACCATTCAGGCACTCGGGCACTGCTCGAGGGCCCGGGGTTAGTAGGGGGCACCATGAGATGCCCCTGGTACCTTTCATAGGCTTTTTTGAGTGTGGTTTGAGTGTGGGCAAGGACACGGGGCCCCTTGATCCCCTATTGCCCGGGGGCCCCATGAGTTGTCAGTCCACCCCTGCCAAGGTGTCAGCTTAATGGCATATAGCGGTCTAGAGGTCATGCACGAACCGATTTCAAGGAAAAAATCCAACCATGCGGGACCAAAGGTTCAGGCCTAGATATGGTGATCCCTTCAGGGATATTTTGCAAAATTGGGTACAAAACCATCAAGAATGTATCAAATCTCAGGACACTGAAAACTATAAAGGAGGTCATAAATGTCCCAGTCCTGCCCCTCATGGTGATGATCAGGCCTTGAAGTGACAAGGAGATCTTTTAAAGCGATATTAAAACCAAAACAAATTATATTGCAGCTTACCAATCAATAGATGTGGTGGCTGCATCAGTTTTCTTTTCTTTGTTTTTTCCTCTGTTTTCACCCGGTGATCTGGCCATTAATACATCTCCTGTATAAAGCCCCGTACACATGATGAGAATATCAGACGAATGATCGTCCGGTTTTTTTCACATGCTAGTTTCATAGTGAAAGTGAATAGATTACTATGGTTATGAAAATTCTTGTACGACAGAATGAAAATTTGGAAGTGATGTTATGTATTGTACTGTATTTGTATTGTATTTTCAGACAAAAACTGTACTGAGTTAATAAAAAATCATAGGATCTGGTATTGTACAAGGAAAGAAAAATTTTCGTGCTTGTCCCTTCAAATAATTTCGGACAAAAACTGTGTGCCAATAGTCAGATTATCGTACGGTCGCTTTGAAAGCAGTATTTTGGGTACATTTTTCTGATTGCGTGTACTAGGCTTTAGTGAGACACAGCTCTGGAGGAATGAGATAGGAGGCACAGCAGACAGCATCATCCTTAGTCTGGGAGGGGAGTGTTAAATGTAGCAAAAATTAGATACACTAACAAATTGAAGCCAAACTCCAGCTGACACTTTATAATCAGTTACAGCAAACTTATCTATTCATGCAAAATTCATGGAAAAAATAAGCTGATCATTTGAATCCCTTCTGCCAGTGATAAGTGGTTTATCTCATCCATGTAAACTAAAATTCTGCTGGAGAGCTTGTGCTTTTGAAATACAAACATACTTACTGGCCAGATCACCAGATGAAAATAGAAAAAAGAAAGCCTTAAAAAGAAAACAAAACAAATGCAGGCGCCACATCTAAGAATTGGTAAGCTGCAAAATAATAATAATGTTTGCTTTGGCATTTAAATCTGCTTTAACTTGCTAGAATGTTTCCTGATGGCGTGATCCTTTCATTTTCTCAATAATGAAAGAAAGTGTCGTATTTACCAAACTTCAACCTGTCAGGCAAGTCACATGAGAAAGGCAGCAAGTCCCAGAGCTATGTAGGGCCAGCTGATACCTTCCTGCATGTGTGTCTTGGAGAAAACTATGGCTAGCCGTAGGGCCTGTTCACACACGCCTGTTTGCTTTGGTAGAGAGCATAAATATTTGTTTTTGCCTTTTAAAGAATGTAACGTTGTGTTTCAGCAAACCCGTGCTTTGCCATACAGCGCAATGCTACAGTACAAATTCATGTTAAAGCTGAACTCCGTCAATGCTATATTTTGTATACTTCTTTTGGGCCAGCTTGACCTAATGTAAGCATGCATATGTGATATCTGCCAGCCCCTGTGGAAGCCTAAATCACTGTAGTAGCCCGAGCTACTACAGTGATGGCCTTGACCTGCTGGGTACTGAGCCCAGTGTCTGCCTTTCCTAGTAACCACAAGGGGGTTGTTTGTTCAACATGGCCGTCACTCAAAGAACACCTTAAATTTTTCTCAATTAATGAAAAGCATTCTCTTGACCGGATGAAGTGGAGAACAGGTGTTGTAACATTATGATCTCCACCTTGTCCAATCAGAGAATGCCTTGTCATTGAAAATAATACAAGGCATTCTATGAATGATGGCAGTACTGAGCTAGCGACACGCTTTGGTTACTATGCAGAAGGGCAGTCTCTCAGTACAGCACCCAGAAGACCATGGCCAGCACTGTAGTAATGTCAGGAATGGACTCAGCACTGGTGGTGGGACTCATGCCATGTGGGCTGCAGTACCAGGGCTGACCAGCGGGTGCTCTCGGCTGACTACAGGAGTGAGCTTCTGGCTGCTAACACCTGGGGCTGATTGCAGGAGGTGTATTTAAGGAATGACCAGGCCTGTGATCAGGGCCTTGGTGTATGTTTCCCATGAGCCCCTGTACCTGGTATCCTGTTTTCCTGCCTCGTTGCTGACCCTGCTTGATCCTGACCTCTGCTGACCGTCTCCTGTTGAACCCCTGGCTTGCCTGACCATCCTTCTGCCTGATCCTCAGTACGCGCTTCCCGCTACCTGCTGAACC